CCAACTCAAAAAAAAAAAAAAAACAGAAAAGAGGCTTCACTGATGAGGACAGCATCTTAAGGCAGCTGCTGGGTTTCCAAGAAGCAGCCCCTCCCCTGGGCCACCCTTCCCTGCAGTCTCATTGCTGGATCTGCAGTGCCGAGTGGAGCCTGCTTCCCTGATGCCCATGCTAATGAGTTCACAACTGGGCGAGTGTCAGGAGACTCAGAGCCTCCTTTCCGAGCCTGGGGCAGAGCCTGGCATGTGGCTGCAGTGACCTGACAGGCAGGCAAGGCGAGAGGGTGGTGGGGGTGGTCAAGTTCTGCCAGGCGGCACCTGCGTGAGAAGACCGGTGTCGTCTGGGCTCGGAGGTGAGTTTTGTTTTGTTTTGTTTTGTTTGTTTTGCTTGAGTCAGAGTCTCACTCCATCACCCAGGCTGGAGTGCAATGGCACACTGCTTACAGTCACCACAGCCTCGACCTGCTGGGCTCAGGTGTTCCTTCCACCTCAGCCTTCCATATAGCTCCACAGGCATGCGCCACCATGCCTGGCTAATTTTTGGGTGTTTTGTAGAGACAAGGTCTCACTCTGTTGCCCACAGCATTGAACTTCTGAGCTCAAGCAATCCTCCCACCCCAGCCTCCCAAACAGCTAGGGTTACAGGCATGAGCCGCCACACCCAGCCCCCTGAAGTTATTTTTTAGGTCGAGGTTGTTGGACATAAAGAAGCTTTGAAATGTTTCATCGACTGAACAAAGGGTATAGCCCTCATTTGATGAGCACCCTCAGTATGTCACTCACTTTCCAGCCTTAACATGCCTAACCCTCACAAAACCCGCTTGGGTGGCATATGTGTCCAGTTAAAGAAGGCAAAGAAGGCTCAGAGAGGGTGAGGAGAGTTCCTCAGCAGAAAAGGGGGTCCAGGATTCTAACTCAAGCCTGACAAAACTCCAAAGTGTCTTCCCACCTCAACACTCTACATTTGAGCTTTTTGGGCAAAACTCTGGTGCTTTACAGTTGACAAAGATCTTCCACCCACAAGCTCATGACGCAGACAGAATATCGTGCAAGCACAGGCTGTTGTTGGTCTCTGGCCCAGTCGCTTGCCCAAGGCCATAGTTTGGTCCAGCTGAGACTTAATGCCGTGTTGTTTCCCTCCTAGTCCTTTACCCCAGGGCACTTCAAGAACAGACAGGGCAGCCATAGGTAAAAGGAAGACCTGGGTTTCATAGTCAGATACACGCCCAGTTCTGCTGGGTGACCTTGGACAACCAGCTCGCCCTCTCTGGGCTGCAGAGCCCCATCTATGAAAAGGAATAATATTCTCTGCCAAGAAGGATGGTTTGGAACATGTGACTCATGACTCACCTACTCAACAGGCCTCCTATATAAAGACACAGGTTAGGACAGAGGGTCCCAGACTTTCTCGATGCACAGCACCCTTGGTGTTCAGGAATGTGTTCACCATTTCCAAACCAAAATACCTAACACCTCCATGAATTAAGCAGCTAGGTTCAAACAACTTAATGAGTAGTTCTATCTTGATGACTTAGTAGCCATTAGAAAAAAGTGATGCACATGAACTGAAACAAAAAAGATTATTTTTTGGCCGGGTACATGGCTCATGCTTGCAATCCCAGCACTTAGGGTGACCAAGGCAGGAGAATCACTTGAGGCGAGGAGTTTGAGACCAGCCTGGGAGACATAGTGAGACCCTGTCTCTACAAAAAACACAAAAATTAGCCTGGTGTGGTGACCCTTGCCTGTAGTCCCAGCTACTCGGGAGGCTGAGGTGAGAGGATTACTTGATCCCAGGAGCTCTAGGCTACGGTGGGCTAAGACCATGTTGCCGCACTGCAGACTGGGCAACAGAGTGAGACCCTGTCTCTAAATATATATATCCTTAAATAGCCACAATTACTGCTACAAGGATGTGTGCACCTATTGGGCTATGCAAACTTCTCAGTCTTTGAGATCAGTTTGGACACTGCCACCCTAATGTCCTATCCCATGTTGGTTTGGGTCACAGTTTTCTGCTTTTTATTTTCTTGTTATTTATCCTTTTTTCTTTTTTTGAGTAGGAGTTTCACTCTGTCACCCAGGCTGGAGTACAGTGGCATGCTCACGGCATGCCTCACCATGCCCAGCTAGATTTTTTGTTTTTCACATTTATTGTAGAGAGGAGGTCTTATCCTCTTGCCTCAGCCTCCCAAAGTGCTGGGATGACAGGTGTGAGCCACCGCATCTGGCCAGTTTTTGCTTCTTAGCACAGCAACCCCAAAACCCCAGCCTTGCCCAGATGGCGAATCATGGAAAGGAAGGCCACACTGTCTTATGTTGGCTCGGTAGACTCCTCGAGCTTGTAGCTCACAGGGTCTGGCAGATGTAACTGTGTTTCCTCAAAATGTTTAAAAACCTCACAGCACCCCTGTGAGTTCCTGGTGGTGCCCTGGGGAACCCTG